AAATCAAATGAGATTTGTGTGGCGCATATGTATTTTGTGCCTCCTTGTACTAATATCTATGTGTTCAAATAAATAATAAATAGATATATGCAAGTAACTTTGGACGAAATATGGACGACATTGTCACAGTACTGATGATAATGAAAAATCGACAGATTAAGCGATGTCCTTATTGAAATGTTCAATTTACCGTTAGTCAGTAATACAAACTTTTTAAACTGAAAAACAGTATACCCAGAAGATTAATGGTTATAAATATAATAATGAGTGATAAACAGTTGTGTATAGACTACGAATTTATTTCTTTCTTTCAGGTCGATATGTTTAGGTCAATAATTACAATTCATGGAAATATGAAATATCTTACTAACAAACATTGCCAATAATTAGTTATCATGCACAAAAGCCCTGATTTTCTACCAAGAAAACCCACCAAGAACTTTCGCATCCGAAAAAGGATGTTATAACCTACATTCCGAACTCCACTGCTTCCTACTACAATCATCGAGTTCTTATCTGTTACTGGATTACTTAATCAGTGTTCTTATTTTTACCACTTTACTACTTAGGGCTTATGTAATGAACAAGCTCAAAAATGTTTGACACAATTTTCCATACTAAATTCCTCAAATTTCTTTGGTATGTCGCTTCTAAATATTAACGTTTCTAAGGTACCCTTAATTGCATCTATACCATAATATTTGAAGATAAACGGTATTACGTCCCATGGCGATCCCTTCATCTCATTCAAATTAAATGAGTGTACTTGGATCTCAGTGTGCTAGTGTGTTCACTTTCATCTTTACATAACTTTCACTTCTTGTTTTGAGATCGAGAGAATATGCACACATTCCATTAAGACCTAAGTAGCAACAGTAATTATGGAGTTTAACAAGAATGAAATTTTTAAACCAACCTACTTTTGAATCTTTCGATAGAAATATTTCAGATTTATGTAGTAAGTTACCTTACATTAAGTTTATCTAAGTAGTTTCTTGATAAATGTTGCAAACTGAAGTCTTTGTCCTTATAAACAAACAATCATAAAATTATGCGGTTTTCAAAATTTTAATTCCTCAGGTCAGTAGCGTTACCAGTTCAAACAAGAGAGAGTGGATGAATATAATGTAGAAACGGTGTTGTAGAAGTAAACGCATTATGAATATCTCGAAAAACTTACTAGGTCAACCTAAGGACACAATGAACGTTTGTATTGATATAGTTGACAAATGTCAATATAAAAGTTTGAAATCATTACATGAGTTACAATTAATTCGTTCCAATTGATGGCAAAGCATTTACGTAGAGGATATGTATAAACATTCTCTGATTGTAGTCGATGGGAATTCTATATTTCGACTTGAACAGCGATTATTACTCTCAGTTTGTCCGGTTCTCTTTGTTGTAAAACCTAGCGGAAAGTAAACAGTTTGTGAACTTTAGTCATTTTATTTCCAACTAGTTATACCAATCTATTTAACCAAACCGAATATATTAATCTACGGGTCACTGTTCTAAAGTATGCCAGTAATCAAATTACAAATTCCTCATTGTCGTCTATATCTTGTATCTGAGCTTCGCCTAAAGAATAAAAGCCAACAAAATCAAAAAAGCAATTGTTTGTTGTAGTTCATATTACGAGTGCATTTCATCTTATGAAAGATACGTTCAAACGGTGGGATTTGTTGCTATGTCTATTTGTGTGTGGTGTTTCAGTGACCATTGAAGTTTTAGGTTACATTCAGGTTTATGATGGTCTTTTTGGTTGCCACAACACTGAGTATAGGTAAAAACAAAACGGACTTGCCACATTATGTACCGATTAAAAAAGTCAGTCATTATTATATTATATATTTTTAACTTAGTCGGGAATATATCAAATGATAATAACCGCTTTTAAATCTTTCGAAGGTCTCCACGAATCTTAATAGAAAACTAAACTGTTATGTTAATAATAATAAATGAATAGAAAATTGTATTTCTGACGTTATTAATTGTTTTAAATGCTTTTGTTTATTTTTATTGATCCAAAATTTCCAAGGTGTAACCAATTGCACCTGCTTATCCAGGTTATTTGGATTCCATCACATGATTAACGCTCCAACTTTCAATCAATGTGTGTTTGTTCACCCGTACATTCAGTTGTCTCGATGTTATTTATGCATATCCAGAACTACTCTCAGAATGTCTTATCTTGCGAGTATAGTTTTATATTTTCTACTTTGTCATCGTCTCTCCACTGCTTTAGAGCTCTAGGTCAAAGGCTCGGGGAGTGACCCTCTAAGAAAACCACTTACTTCGGTTTGTGCAGACAGGTAGTATTCCAGCCCTCACAAAAATCGAATGACGAAGTGTGGTGCATACATATTTGGTGCCTCCTTGTACCACTGTTTATGTGTTTAAACAAATAAATATAAAACCTGACTCATTAATTTTGAACTAAGTGTACCACTCACAATATTTTTAGTTTGCATTTTTATAATTTCTCACTTTTTCGTATGATGACAGTTCACTTTGTTTTTCAATAGAGATTTTGAAATTATTCAATCTTCATTTCTCCTCATCCTGTAGAAATATTCTAGGCTAACTGGCTGACCTAAACTTAGATACTTAACTTAATCTACTAACCTCATATCCCTTTAAGAAAGTCATCAGCTCTGTATATTTAATTTCTAACATCTATACTACTAGGAAATACTAATTATAACACACCCCTATCTACACAGCTTCATGTACTACCATTTAAATATATTCGTATACTAAACCACACCAACATGATTGGATAATATTTTAGTATGTAACTGTTTTTGATCTTACGTATTTTTGATTATTTCCCTGAAAAAGTTGGTAACAGACCTCCAGATAATCTGATGTTAGTTATGTGGCTTCAGTTATTGAGATTTATACGAATATGGTTTTTTTATTTCATATTCTTGATTAATGTTTAATGCTTTTAAAAATTGTGTGTTAATCATTTTTCATATATATTCACTTTATGTCCAGCAAACTCTCATGTGCAAATATTCATATTTTGTCTTGAAGCTCCGTAGTTGTAAGCAAATGTACTGACTACCAGTGTCAAATTTAATTAATTATTCACTAAATTAATTATTGAAAGTCATCAAGAAAATAAGTAAGAAATATGTACAGAATTTTTTAAATGACAGAGGAAGTAATTCTTGATTATATTCTTTATGTTCCAATATACATAATTTGTAATCTATCACTGCCACTAATATTAATACCACCCTCCACAAAACTAAATTAATAATAATCACTTCCTTAATAACTTTTCTTATTCACTTATGCTTCTAGCATAACACACTCCTATGGTGTATTGATCTAACACTTATGTTAAATTTAATGTTACTGACCATATTGATAAACATAGGTTATTTATTATTATTATTGTATTTTTTTTAACGCCCCAAAATTTTTGAATGTATCCTAAGTCATATTGTAGTGATCAAGAACTTGGTGGAGAAGTCCGATTTGTCATTTAATGCCAAATCACAGTGCTTTCGTAAAATATGAAAATCATACATTAAATGCATTATTTGCACATCTTTTATCAGTTGTCTTTTACACGCTTCATGATTCTTTAGATTTGGTTGTTATTCCAATTCTCTTTCCCTTTCTATCCTCTTCAATTCACTCCTCTCAATCGTCTGCTGGCATTCATTCCACTTACTACATATTACTTATATCTGCCAACTTAAGTAGCATACACCACAATGTTACTGACGCCGAGGCATGTTTATGAATGTGTGTAGACTATTGCCTTACGAATTTACCTAGTGGGAATAACTTTTTAATTTGCTTGAGCGTCATTTTTGACAATGAAATAAGTTTGAGAGAAAGTTCAGAGGAATGTGACTACGAAATATTTAACATTGAAAGTGTAACTTTGGCATATAAAATATGATATAACATTCATATCGATACGATGACGGAGTTAAACAAAGAAAGGGAAAACATTTAATATAGGTCAAAAAACTCAAAAATGTCATCTCATTTGTAAAAGGTTCGTCAAATTTCTTACGTATCTCTATATCCTTTTGTAAAATCTCTTTAAATAAAGTTGACCAAAATTTAACTATACTAATAAACTCAAGTATCTCATGTACTCTGAATCTTTTCGCATAGAAATATATGAAAAGATGTCATTTCTGTATTATTACGGACTGTGACTTTCATCAGAACTACATTTATCCTTTTTTAAAATAAAATAATTTCCAGTATTGTTTGATATGATAAAATTTCAATAAACACAAAATCTTATCTATGATTATTTAATCCCCTTTATTTCCTTTTCCTTCTATCTTTCGTTTTTCTCTCAGTATTGTTTTCTTGTTGGTGTACTCTTTTTCGCTCTAATCTCCTTTGACTGTGTTAATGTGGGATGTGTCCACCTTGATCATAGTATAATTAAACCATGCCCTGCTTGAATTCAGAATACGGTCAATAAGTCATACATGGTTATTGTATATAACAATTATGTCATTGTGGCTTTTCAAAATTTCATGTCATACTTTCTATCCCGCCGGGAGACACAATGTTCTTTGACTTATAATAATTACTATCATTATTGTATAAAAGTTTTGGTATATGTTTTTTTGTTGAGTTTCCATTATGCCCATAATCACTACTTTTATTATTATCATTACTGTGTCATAGGGACCTTAAAACTTGCTTAATCCTGCATCTCATTTTTGTCATCATATAACCTAGACAGGAAATCTTCAGTTGAAAGATGACTATTTAGAAATTTCATAGTGTTTTCGCTAGTTTTGGTAGTTATTTTAGATTACGACTAGTTCATATTGTTTATAATAACTGGAAATATGTTTTATTTTCCCATGGCCTTTCACATCATTCTGACAATTATAGCTCCTTAAAATATACATATTTTTTGTCCAAAACAATATTCTCCACATTTTTTTATATGGTTTTCTTCTCTGTAAAAATACTTTACGATTCCTCTACTTTTGTCTTCTTAGACTTTTGACAAACAGTGTTCTGCCTGACTCATCTCTATGTCAACCCGGTTTACAATCATTTATTTCTACTAATGGATCAAATCCGAATGATGCAATTTATATAGGGAATTCACAAAATGTATCAATCATGAATGGTACGATTGGGCATGATAATAACACAGCTCCTCCACTAGTCCAAACGTTTATATCTTCCGTACAACAATCACAGCAACAACAGGGTCGTTCAAATAATCCCGGGCTAATTGACTCTACTAGAAGTATTGAACCAACTTATTCCACTACAAATGATGCTTTACGTGCCAAATCAAAGTCTCATTCAGATTCAGTGGTTGTTGTTGAAAGAAAATCTAAACGCCATTGTCCATGGTATTACTGGATTATTAGTATATTGATATTAGCCTTCCTTCTCGCACTTGTACTGGCTGTATCCTTTTCAGGTAAGCATGATATATGTAATACAGGCAGTCATTCTACTGAAACTTATTAGTATATGATATATATATACGTGTTAATGACTGATTTTAGTGACAATCTATGTAACAACCTACATGAAAATTCTCAGTCAAAAACCTACAGCTAACGTGTCTTCTACTTTCATGGACCATTTTTCACCTCTATAACGTCATCACACTACTGTAAAACATACAGGCCCTTTGGTTGAAAGACAGATATTTCATCTACTCCACAAGTAACACGAGTTAACAAAAGCCAATTAAGCTATATTATTGCGTGATGAGATTTCCCAGATAAGTGAAACGGTTAACGTACTGATCTATTTCACTCCCTATCATTAGTTTAGGTGTTGATGCAGACCAGTTCTGAAAAGGCATTTAGAAGTATAGTTTAACTACTGAGTTTCAGTAAGCAATTGTGAACTGGATTTGATTTTTTGGGCAACTTTTTAATAAACTATTTCTCGTAATTATAAGACGAAACATGTCTCTCTTGTTCGTATTGTCTAAGTATTAAAATATATGAGTGATAGAAGACTATTCATCTTTCCCTATAAATTTATGATTCTGCGGTCTTAATATGTGTTGTGAATAGTGATATTCCTTAAACTAATACCAGCTTTGTACTTCTCATTTTGAATTTCGGCATGAATTTCGACTTTGAAAAAACGGCAAAGTTAATCAACAAACTTCAGGACGTGGGACTAGATAACACGGATTTTTAAATACAATGGCGATATTCACATTCAATTAACCAAATTGCAATTTTGAAACACAGGACAGTCGTTTTTATTCTTTGTGATACACCTCTTTTTGATCCAGCTCCTTGAACTGTGTAATTTTTGATCCTTATATATCAACAGTTCAGTAATTTGATTTGCATCAATACGGGTGCACATCTGATGAAATTAATGTCAACTTAGCAGTGCAACCACGTAATGTTTAAATAGTCTCAGTCTAAAAACCAAGTACTAGTAGTTTATGTTTGGTTATTTTTAATATCTTTGTTTATTTGCCGTCAGTACACCATATTGTCGACAATTTAAATCCAAGCACTATTTGTAGTCCTAACATCATTTTCCTAAGACATACCTGTGATACTGAATAGTCGGTTCTATTTCTTAATTGGGTTGGTGGCGATCGAAGGTTGAACTTAAACCAAAGTCTCATCCCATTTGCCACTCACGAGCAAGATGTATCCTCAACCTTGTGGGGACCCCCCACTTATGCAATTGAGATTTCTCACATCGATTGATTAACAAATAGGCATATGCTTGTTAATTAGTAGTGATATTGCAATGGTCGGTTGAGTCAAAGTTGCACTAAGAACTGGATAAACATGATATTTGTTACTACTGAGTGATCATTCGGTGTGATTATGTTATATTTGGTCACTTTATTCCAGTCGTGGATTCTACGCTTTAAATGATAACTTTGATTCAACTTAGTTAGATTAAGAAATATAAAATATTTCCCTCGAGAATTAATTCTCTTAGTCTTTTGTATTAACAATTTAGAACATAGTTGAAAATCTTTGTTAATCTATTAAAAGAGATTTCTGAATTCAACGACTCCATTGACTAAACCCCCGATAATGTAGATGACTCATTATTTTTATTTTTCACCAATCTATTCCTTTGTGCTGGTTGACCTTACTATTCCATATGTTACTATGACCTTGTGTATAATGTTAACCTGTTTGTCAGGTCAACAAGTATTTTGTTTTGTATTCTAAAGAATCTGTTAGCCAGCATCCTAGGCATATTTCATATTGACAGATGTCAATATGAAATACTGGATTGTTTTCTCTTAATTGAATCATTCTTAATGGAGGTCAATTGTGACTTGGATAACTTAACAGTAACACCTGAACCATGACGTTGAGATACAATATATTTGGTTACAAAGGGGAAATGGCAAAATTTACCGGTAGTATGAAATTCTATTTCAAAAGCGTCGCAATTTATATACTAACTAGTCATTTGAGCCAACTATTTCAAGACAACTGAAAAAATTAAATATTAGCATAATAGTATTTCTGAAAAATTTTGAAGAACATATCTCAAATGTTGAGGAATTGTCAGCTCAACTGACAATTCCGAATTTGTGATTTCCATTACTGAGAAACTTTAATAACTTTGTTCTTCTATTCTTAAGCTGTAAAATTCGCAAATAAGTATTTATTTAATCTTTTTTTCTTTAAAAATAACATTTTTCCAGAGGAGAAGAAACGTTTAGACCATCGGTTACAAGAACGATTCGCTCAAGATCCTGCGATTATAGGTAATGAGTTTTGAAACGATATTGTTAATATTTTAGACTGTATCGAATTATTTGGTAGTTTTTAGTCATTATATAGTAGTGTTTTATGATGAAGAACATTACTTGTTTAGACAGGAACTTACAGAGTTTTAAGCCATTCACTTAAGATAGTTTAATTGATAGCCTAAATTTGACTCTCAATATTAATTTTGAAAAGTAATGTGCTTAGACATTTTTTCATCAACTAAGCAAACCAGTTGAGTACGACCGTTATTGTGATTGTGTGACAGTATTCACAACAATGCATATCCGATTAACTGTTTTAATAACTTATTCTCCTCTATTTCCATGTGCCTCATGATCACAGATCGATCTCAACTTTATTTCTCTAGCATTCTTGTTGTTTACGGTTGATAAGAGTTAGCAATTTTATCAAGGATGTTCATTCCATCCTTTTCAGTACTCAGCATTTTAATGGGCTTGCCTTTCAATACATATTCTCGTTGAAACCTGCTTGCAATATCTGTATCCTCAAACACCATAGGATTATTCATGGAACTACCGATATACAGTAGTCACATCATGTTTGATGGATATCACTTGTTATTAAATCTCATTACATTTATAAATGTTCGACTTGTCCATTCAATGAGCTCAAATACTAAAAAGTACTGACGAATTCATTTCTTCAATCATCAACAAAGAGATTTCCATTTTTACTTGTTATCTGAATCAGTGCTGATGAGGCATGTTGTTGTTCATCGATATTTACTCTAAACTTATCTCAATTGATTGATCACTGGGTGGTGATCAATCTCATGCTTGTCTATTCCTTATTAGTGCAGATCGAATGCTATCGATCATGTTGCAATGTGGCCACCAGTCTAGGTGACTCGACACTGCGGGCACTATGTAGTGAGATTAGATGGTGGTTGGAGGTAGTCAACAGGAAACCCTGGACCCGGGTTTCGTGCTACTTGGCACTCGTCAGCAAGGTGTACCTGTAATCTTGAGGGAACTGGTGCTCCCTGGCGGATTCGATCTCGTGTCACCCAGCTTCACAGTCAGAGACGTTACCACTGAGCTATCCGAGCCGTGACTAACCTCCTGTAGGACTGAGATGTAATCACAATTGATTGATCACTGGGTGGTGATCAATCTCATGCTTGTCTAGTCCTAAACTTATCTATCTGTACTTGTTTATATACCTACTGATTAACTTTGAAGTCATCTGTAGAGTAACTCATTATGGTTATATAGTTCCATCAACGGCAATTTCTTACCATACTTCCGTAATCCCCGTCTAATAAATTTAATATCCATTCATGACATTGTATTACCAGTGTACACTAATCAATTGCGTCAGGTTCAATGTAATAATATAGGAATCACGCTTTTATCAAGTTTAATACTGTAAAAACTGTTAAATTGACTTTATGTAGACTGATGAAGATGCTGTTTATTTTTCCAGCTTTATTCTTATCTCTCCCTTTCTCTTTTAGTCGATAATCTAACTTTTTGACATGTGTGTTGTGTATCTATGGTATTGTTGTTATTATTACAACTTACTTTCAGCACATGTGTCATACTAACTTCTTACTCATTAATTTGTCATGTTTTCGCATGGATATTGAAATGGCTGAAGGAAAAACAGTGTGTAAATTTAATGAGTCATTCATGAATGGAGTTTCATTCCCTTTTAGATAAAGCTTACTATTAGTTTTACAAAAATAAATGTGTTAAATATTGTGCTTCGTAGTTTATAAATTTACTTCAGAATTAGATGAGAGCTGTCAAGTTATGAATGTTAAAGTACTTTGTTTTAATGTTTATAAATGGTTGATATTACAGTGTTTATAGAATGTTAATCAGCTTCAAAATCATGTTCCAGATGCTTATCGTAATTTATTGATTGATCCACTGTACTGACTCGAGTTCACAGTGTAGTTTGTTTTTACTTGATATGGGGATTAAAGGAAACACGTCAGCAACATTAATAAAACTGACGTTTTGTAGAAATTCGAATCCCCATTCGGTTTCCTTCAAACTATTCGAGTTGTGGCGTCATCATTTTCAATTGGATTTTACATACGGATAAATTGATAGGAGGTGAATAATTTTGTTATGTGACGACTTCGTTGCTAAAGCATTCGGATTTTAGTGAATATGCCGAGTTCGAACCCTTCACTTTGGGGAAGCAGGCATTACTATGCTTCACACAAATATCGTACCTCAATCTCTCCTATATAAATATATCACATTAATCAGCTAACTAATTCCGTACCCAGGAATTCGAATATAAAAGTTAAGTAATTTTACTCGTCAAAAAATGAGCCATTGAAGTGTTAAGCATAATTCAGTTCTGCATTCGGTAATATAGGCTTCTCTTACGATTGACCTTTGGTGTTTTTGTTACACTGTGATATGAAAAGAGGGATTCAGCATTCAGTGTTATCCGATTCAGTAGCTTCATCATGCAAATGATTTAATTTTTTGTGCAGGTATTTCGTACTGCATTACAAACGTGCAAATTTTCTTACTAATTAATTTTTACCTGTAATAAATGTAAACTTTATAATATTTATTACGTACGCTCTCCATCGATAGTCTACACGAGAAATATTGACCGTATTGTTCTATTGGCAGTAAAAATTAACAATCTTCGGTTATTTAGATCACATTTATTGGTACTATTCTATTTCAAGTTGTTCAGAGGAGTTATGATAATTGTGTGATACAGCCTATAAATCTGCGTTTTTGAGGTACACACATCCACATCACAAATGTTAGTATAGTTAAACAATAAACATATATAATGGAATTTTTTTCAAGCAGAATGTTGAATTGTTTTTGGATCTACTAAGCAGTTGACTGAAAGAAACCAGTATTGTTTTATTGAGTGATAACAGATGTTTGTTGAAGAAGTTCATTTTTAAGGATTGCTACTGATCGTCTGCGGATCATTTTATTTCATAGATGTGTTTTATGGAATTTGATGAGCAATAGATTGAATGAAAACTGCTTTTATTCCATGAGTGTAATCAATTCAGTTTTCCCGAACATCGACTAACATCCAAGTTTATCTCTGGTAAATCTAGTTGTTGCAAAATACAAATTCAGAGTTCTGAAGCAATATTTCTTTAAGGTCACAGATGTGCCTTAACATTCAATTCTTTGATTAACTGCATATGTACTATAAAGTTAGGAACCTTGTGAAAAACTTATCGTTTATGTGGTCGGATTCAGTTCGATCACTAGGTGAAAATTCATCGGTGGTATTCTTATTCCATTGAACCAAGTTACTGATTGTAAAGCAGATTGTATGGGATTATTAACATATATTGCTTTTTTAGAGCAAGATATAGTTGACATTAAAGGTGTAAGTTGTTTCGTTTTTTAAATATTTGGCATCTACCATAGTTGTATTTATTGTCTAATTACCGTAATAATGGTAATTTCCATTGCTTAATTGTAGGGAAAATTCTTTTTGAGATTTATGAAAATCCACTCCTTTTTTATTCCGAATCTTTTTCTCAATTCTCCTCTTTCTTTTCACTTTCCTTCAGTTATTTTCTTAAAGGCTTTTTAGCACCTTTTCTTGCTAGAATTGTGATGATACGCTCTTCTTCTACACTTACAATATAAACGCCATCGTATTCATTTATTGCAAACGAATATATATATATATATATATATATATATATATATATATATATAGCTTTTTTCGAACCACTGATAGTTGTATATCTTGTGTAAAACCCTGTTCACTGTTATCCTGTATTATTGTTCAATCTGTTTAGCAGTCTATTTAGTTCACAAGTTGTATCTAGTGAATGATACTCGTGTTTATCATCGTAACTTACTAGTTATATTTAAATTATTCGAAAAATTAAACTGCTTTAAACTTGTCCAATGTTAGATATTTTGAGACAAACAGCAAAAGATTCTAAATGAAGGTTTGTGTGTTTGTCAGTCTCCAGTTACTGTGAAACATAACGCCAAGTTGCTTGGCTAATTATGACGATTTCAGCATTAGATCGACTGTAGATCAATAAAGGAGAATTAATAACAAACGAATAAACTGCCGGCATTCCTCTGCACAACGTTAGAGCGTTGATAGCGATATAAGGACGATTATATATTTATTATCAGCTTGAAAAACCAGTAGCTATTTTTCTGAACATACTGTCAGAGGTGCATATAGATGCATTACAATAATCTTGAAATAAACAACCTATCAAATATTCGTTCCAATATCTTGATGTATTTATTTATTCATTTATAAAAATGGCATTCTGAAAAGTCAGTTTTTATGTCACAGAAACTCGATGCAATACGCATAAGTATTTTCTTGTATACAGTATATATTACTGGATGTTTGGTGTATAAAGCCATGGCTTATTGGTTCAAGTACTTAACTTTCAGCCAACTAGCCACTAGATTAGAACAGTGTTCCACTCGACAAAACTACGTCAACATAATACTACCATTAATCCTAAAACAAAGCTCGGCTTGTTGCTTTGTTTATTTTTTTCTCTTATGGGTTCTTTATATCAGCTATTTTATATAGAATTTTATAAATGATTTATTTTGCTCCAAGAGAATAAAATTTGATAAATTAGTTGGCTAATTGTTTGTCGTCAATATGTGAGTTAACGCCGTATTATAAGGGTTTTGTTGTTCTCGTATTTAATGATATTTGTTTGTTTGTAAATCACGTTATTCATCTGTTATTTTTTGTTTTTCTTGCCTTTCTTCATCCTTTGCAGGTCTTTTTGATCCTAACTCACCTCCATATATCTTAGAAGCAAATAAGCCTGTAAATATTGTTCTAGAGCCAATGAAATCATGGTCAGGTCAATGGCATATGCCCACAGCGCGTTATATACGCTATAATATTACAGTATCTTCGTTAGCCTCATCAATTGGTGTATTTATGCGTCACAACACAATGCCAACCATTATACATTATGATATATTCGATAGGATAACTGGACATAATTTGTTAGCAAACTCTGGTCGACAAGAATTAGGCAGTCGTACAAAGCGTTCCACTCAATCAACTAATCGAAATTCAAAGTCTTTAATTCATATAGGTCCTAAAGTGAGTTTAGCCGTTCTTTTTTATTATTACACGTTTTCTAGACATTGAGGTGATTTTCTTTTTGTTATCAAAAAATAACTTTGGGAACTTTTATGTGAATGAACAAACATTAGTTGGATATTCGCAGAATAATTGGCAATCTGAAAGCTGTTTATGCTTTTGTTGTACTGTTCCACTATTCTCAGGTTAATCAAGGATTGAACGAAGAATAATGAGTATACTTTAAAAATACTTCGAATTTAGGTGACTGATTTTTTGAGGATCTTTGATCATAAAAACAAATACTTCACATGTTCACCTGATTAGTTGAGCAAGTCCCATTTTTCATTAAATTTTAAGAAACTTATCGTTGTACAAAACCCACAAAGTTCCCCTTTGCATATTTTTAAATTCACTTAAAGTTGTGACTAACTATCAATTCTGTGAAAATTCTTCCTGATTGAAACTCTCCATCTTTGTGCAACCCTAATAAGTTGGCATCGACTTTAATAAACCAATTTTATTTACCGAATTGGTTTTGTGGAAATGGCATACAATTCGAATATGATTTTCATCATAAACTAACGTCAGATCTATATCCACGCAATAAATTCAGTAAATAGGAACCATGTAGTCAATAGTGAATAGTTTGAGAATTGGCTTCTTAAAGTTTCGACCGTGATCTATGAAGTCATTCAAACAGATGGTTTAGTGAGATTGCAACTCGTGGGTCAAACATGATGTGGGGGGGGGGTCACGAATTGACTGAATTTAAAAATGTAAGCCAGTTCAGTGGCTTTCAATGGCAGTATGGTTGCTGCCTGACCTGGAAGTTTCAGGTTCACACATTTGATTAGATTCTAACTATGGTCAGATGCCTGTTTATTGTTCTTTAGTTTACAAAGGTCCTGCAAGTGACATCGATGATTGATCACTTTTTGTACGTGCATTAAATATTTTATATGACTATCTTTAGTTTTATGATATTATGAAACGTCATATTTTATTCTTTAAGTTATTGCGCATTAGTTTTTAAGATTAATTCTGCAATTGACTCGAAATTTCTATCCAGTTGTACCCTTAAGCGACATGCCTCGACCGTTGTTGCTACCTTGACGTGGTGGTCGGGCTTGCCTATCGTGATGAAGCAACCGAGCTATACTGGCTGGAACAACCGTTCCTCAAGGTCCTACCATGTCAGACAGGTCGGTTGAAGAGCGGTAAGACTAAAAACAACAAACCCAAGGTCCGAAGGCGAAGTCGTACTGCTGACTGTACAGAGGTGTGACAGCAGTAAGGTGTTTCCTTCAGACAACCAGCATGACAGCGATGCTGCCTTCCCACAAGGAGGGGTGGGGTTAGAAAAGGTCGACCCTGAAAATGCACACCTCGCTTTATCCCACGGATATCCGTCTCCGGCGGTAAGGTCTCAACAAGTACGGAGCTAACACAAAAATTACCTATACAAAGGTCGTGTGTGACCGACCTCAAGCAGTTGTCCCTTGGGCACTGCGGTCACGCTCCCAGGTCCTTAAGACCACCTCTAATCCAATTTCGTTTTCAGGTACCTCCAGAAGAACCCTTCCACGGTGTGGGCAACCGGGAAGTGATAACCGCCGTCATACCTCTAACAGCACTCAAGTCCACTGTATTCATAATCAACCTCCATCTTCAATTACTATTATTCCTCCTACATCGACTTTCAACTCTAAATTTCCTCTTTCGGCTTCCTCCTCAAGTGTCACCATAGCCAACGATTCTAGTGCTCAAAACACTGTCCTAGGTCTACTGAAACCTCGCTCCAAACTACACATTGGAGCCTTCAACGTACGCACCCTATGTCAAATCGGTCAACAGGCTTCCTTGGCTAGAACCCTAGAGTCTCTTTCCATTGATGTGTGCTGTGTCTCCGAAACACGCATACAGGATTCCAGTGTGGTCATTCACTTGACCTCACCTCGGCAAAACGGAGAGCCAACGAGATACACCCTACGTGTATCTGGTGACCCGATGGCCAGTTCTCGTGGACTGGCAGGTGTAGGCATAGCACTAAGCATGAGGGCGGAACAAGCACTGCTAGAGTGGATCCCCGTCAACAGTCGTCTATGTGCTGTTCGGCTAAACGGCTCCGTGAGAGCTCGGAAAGATAGGGACACATGTCGTTGCCTTTTTGTCGTTTCTGCCTACACTCCCACCGACTGCAGCTCAGATGAAGTGAAAGATGAATTTTACAGAAAGCTCTCTGAACTACTTCAGAAAGCTAAACGTCCAGACATATTACTCGTAGTAGGTTACTGTAATACCCAGATAGGTAGTTTAAACCAAACAGAAAGGCATTTAGGTGGGTATTTTAGTATTCCTGCACAACGAACAGATGATGGTGATCGTCTGCTGCAACTGTGCTCAGACAGTCGTTTATTTTTAGCAAACACTAATTTTAAGCATAAGGAGAGACATCGTGTAACATGGTGACCGCCTGCACCAAACCAACGATGGACTCAAATAGACCATACTGCCATCAGTCATCGTTGGAGATTGTCGGTAGAAGATTGTCGCTCATTCTGGAGTACCTGCTTGGACTCCGACCACGCGCTAATACGGGCACGCATCTTCTTGCGCCTCACTGGACACAAAAAAGCCACAATAAAAAGACCCATTAGAACTGAATTGAGTAGCGAGAAAACCAAAAGTAGGTTCCAGGAACAACTGAGGTCACACTTAGGTAGTTCTGAAAACGAGGTTGACCCAGATGTTGCTTGGAAAGCTATGCAAACAGCTGTCTATCACACTGATGGATTCTCGTAAACTCATCTCATCAGGCTCTGAACACGATGAAGAGCGTGTAGAAATCAGATCCAGGTTAACCAAAAGTCTAAGAAACGACCGTGAGCAGTGGTGGGCAACGAAAGCAAAAGAGATGGAAAAGGCGGCGGCTATAGGGAACACAAGGCAGCTCTACAGACTAATAAAAGAAACTAGAATTAATAAGTGAAGTGTAGGTGAGACGATCTCGTAAAAAGACGATACACTCATCTGCTCCCAGTCCAGGCGTTTAGAACGATGGGCGGAACATTTTGGAGAACAGTTCAGCTGGCCTTCAGCTACTCTACAACTACCCTCCATTCCCAGACAGTGTGAATGGATCATTAAAGTAGGTCCCCCAACTCTTGCTGAAGTTCAAAAGGCTATAGTGAATCTGAAACGAGGAAGGGCAGCTGGTCCAGATGGACTGGCTCCAGAGGTCTTTAAGGATGGTGGTCCAATTTTAGCGATTGGGTTGACTAATATTTTAGCTAAGATCTGGGAGTTAGACGTTATTCCATCTAACTGGTCACAATCACTTATCGTCCCAATATATAAGAAAGGGTCAAAATCATCCTGTGACAACCACAGAGGGATTAGTTTAACTAATATAATATCTAAAATGCTAGCCTCGATAGTTATCAGACGCTTAACTAAGACTCGTGAACTGCAAACACGAGAGAACCAAGCTGGCTTCAGACCTGGTCGTGGCTGCATCGACCACATATTCACCATTCGTCAGGTTCTAGAACACAGGCATACTTATCGGCGTCCGACAATGGTGGTCTTTCTCGACTTAAAAGCAGCATTTGACTCTGTAGACCGCGAGATTCTGTGGCAGTGTCAGTCGTTGAAAGGCGTACCTCAGAAGTACATAAACCTTGTGAAGGCTCTTTACTCGAACACTACTAGTCGAGTCAGAGCTTATGGCGAACTGTCATCTACTTTTGCAACCTCAAGTGGTGTCCATCAAGGCTGTCCACTTTCTCCATTTTTGTTTAACTTCATCATAGATCTACTGATGGAAATAACATTCTCGTCGACTGAGTTCTCGGGTATTGATCTCCATCCAGGAGGTCCACTTATCGACTTAGAATACGCAGATGACATAGTCCTGTTTGGTGAAGACGCTGATAGAATGCAGAGTATTTTGGTAGCACTGAGCAACAATGCCAGAATGTTTGGAATGCGCATCTCTCCCTCTAAATGCAAGTTGTTGCTTCAGGACCGGCCTGCGTCAACACCTGAACTAAGGATAGGGAGTGAGGTAGTCGAACGCGTTGACAACTTCACTTATCTTGGAAGTTTGATCAGCCCTAATGGGTTGGTGTCTGACGAAATCTCAGCACGGATTCGAAAAGCTCGCTTGGCTTTTGCCAACCTACTTCACCTATGGCGAAGGCGAGATATCCGTCTATCAATTGAGGGACGAGTATACTGCGCGGCAGTCCGTTCTGTTTTAATTTACGGCAGCGAAACATGGCCATTGAGAGTAGAAGACACTCGTAAGCTACTAGTATTTGACCACAGATGCCTTAGAAATATTGCTGGCGTCTGCTGGGATCACCGAGTAAGTAATAGTGAGGTTAGACGCAGGGTATTAGGGAATGATGGTAAATCAGTTGATGAGGTTGTGAATCTTCATCGACTGAGATGGTTGGGCCACGTGTTACGTATGCCTGAACACCGATTACCATGTCGTGCAACGCTAACCGGTATTGGAGATGGTTGGAAGAATGTTAGGGGCGGCCAAACCAAAACGTGGCATCAGTGCTTGAAGTCACTAACTTCTAATCTGAGCCATGTTGGTAGATGCAGACTACTTGGTTGGGGTCCGCGTGACTATCGTAACCAATGGTTGGAGACTCTTGGTGACATGGCTCAGAATCGATCACAATGGCGTCAGTGTATACACTCTCTTTCATCCTTTTAACTAAGAGATTAAAATCGCTTCATATTTTTCTTTCTGAGTACGAAATCTTTCTTCCTATACTATATCCTTATATGCAATCTTTTTTTTATATATTACCACGATTGACTTAACCACTCCTATAAATCCGGTGTTCATCTTGCTGTGCTAATGCGGTATGGCAACTTGGACTGATGCAAATATGTGCCTGGTCCTACGTTGTAGCTGACTGACTGATTGACTTAAGCGACATGCGAATAATTCACTATTGAAAAGAAAATTAATTTTGGTGGTGACTTATTTTTACATCTTCATTTCATGTGTTAATGCCTTGAATGTATTTCTTCTGTTCCATTTTCCTCTAATGGCTGCACCAGTTACACGTTTTTAATCTTCTTTCTACATTTTTCAAATTTTGCACGTTTATGAACTCATCGGCAAAAATTGCTGTTATATGATTTTTAACACATTATATAGTTGTAAAAACGAATAAATAAATTATGACTGAATAGAGTTTATCAATGTTTTTTTTTAAAAACTAGGCTCCATAACAATCAATGTGTTTTTATAAACAAAATAAAAAGTAGATCATATATAACTGTTGATATTATGTTGTTTCTTTGTACCTTAATTTAGAATAAACTTGATTGTTTGCAATCATTTGAGGTATTTGCAAACAATAAACGTTGTCTACTTTCAGGCTTAGTCAGATACTGATTTTTTTCCTTTTCTTGTTGTTTAGCTTTGTCTCTAATTAAACTCTAAGATTTTCCAAAGGTATTGTTGAATCTTTCGACTCTCAAACGAAATCGGTTGACATTTATGTAATGTTATTCAGTTGACTGACTAGAGTCTGACATTGATTTGTTTACGTTCAAATTTCTATGCACTTTCATCAATACAAATCCATAAAAGGGGAATAGATCGTAAAAAATGGTAAAGTGAATACCATAACATAGCGAATAGTTTATGTCGTGGAATCATACACGTTTGACTCCCTAAGCTTACGGCTAGTAGGTTTTTTTATATAAAGAATAAACGTCAGTCAACCATTTTCCCCAACATAAACTTATTTCGATATTCGAAAAAAAGTTCATCTGATCTTTCCGTGATACAGTAGTTACTTGAAAGAAAAGTGTTCCTTTTTCGATCACATTGACCTTAACTGACATATTTCATAGAATAATTAAGTTACAGTCCCATTTTATTTAGTTATAAACAAGATGTTAACTACAAATTCATTTATAGCATTATCTTAATGAAAAAATTCACTCTTCACTTTGTTTAATTGTGATTATGTAATTGTTCAGATAAATTTATTCCGAAAAAAGTTCATGAAATAAATTTCTCGCTATTGTTAATCTCTAGCTATTCTAGTGCTACTACCTCTCTCAAGCCCGGGTAAAGGAGGAGAGTTGGGTGTGGAGTCAGCAACTCCATCCCGTAGAAAACAAACTTGCTAAAAAATAAGCTGACCAGACTATACAAATTAAATCATTTAAACCCTGTCCTCCTAGTTGAAGGAAGAATCATGACGCCTCATAGTGAAAGCTGAGATTCTTCGGAAGTCACGAGGCCGATGTCCCTTCTAACAACCAGAGCAACAATTAATATAGGTACATAGAATGTTCGGACAATATGGGAGACTGGGATGACCAACCAAATAGCTACGAAAATGAGAAAATACACCTTGATGTTTCTCGGAATCAGTGAAAATCATCGGACCCAAGCTGGAGAGAAAAGAATGGATTCCAGAGAGATGTTGCTGCACTCTGGTCAAGAAGAAGAAAACGTTCCGCATACTCAGGGAGCTTCTCTGATGCTTTCCAAAGGTGCATGTAAAGCACTTATAGGACGGGAACCTCATGAATCCAGGATCATCAAAGCACCCTTCAACACAAAAGAAGGAATCACAAAGTATGTTGCACAATGTAATGCACCCACAAATAATTGCAACGACAATGATAAAGACAAGTTTCACTGGAGGCTGCAATCGATCATAGCGAAGTGCTCAGGAAAAACCTGACCATCCTAATGAGAGACCTAAACGCCAAAGTCGGGATGGGCAACACCGGGTACGAAGATATTATTGGACAACATGCACTAGGGAAGAGGAACGAAAATGATGAGAGATTTGCAACTTTATGTGCATTCAAAAAGTGGTTATATGCTGCACGATATTCCCACACAATCGCACACACAAAGCTACATGGGTCTCACCGGATCACACCACACAGAATAATTCGGAAACTCAGTGGATGGTATGAGAACAAGGAACGTAGCCGACATAGCTTCAGATCACCACTAGCTGGTTGTGGCCAAGATAAAACTGAGGCTAATGAAGCTCTGAACAACTGGGGAAACAGCAGTACCAAGGTTTAATACAGCCTTTCTTCGAGATACTGACAAACCCAACGAACTCAAGATAGCTCTCAACTACAGCTTTCAAGTCTTACAAGATCTACCCAAAGAAGAGGAAACTACTATAGAGGACAAATCGAAAGGGATCAAAGAAACACTGACTTCTACGTGTCAGGAGGTGTTCGGCCACAACAAGCTTCATCATAAGGAACAGATCTCTATGGAAACCCTGGACGAGATTCAAGAAAAGAAGAACAAGAAGTCAACAATTAACGACAGTCAAACAAGAACAGAGGAAGTCGACGCACTGGCTAGATACACAGAAGCAAACAAGAAAGTGAGGAAGAGTAATAGAGCTGACAAGCAGAAATATGTGGAAGACCCAGCAAGGACAGCGGATAAAGCTACAACAGAAAGAAATATGAAACAACTATATGATACAACGAAATTTTGTGCGGAAAATAATGACTATAACTATTATGATCTAACTGACCTAGTGTTGTAGTTTGTCTTTGTGTTATACTGTCATATCATTTACGTTTTGTTAAAGGCAATTCATACAGTTATGCCACGAAATATGTTAACTGAATTACGACCGTGAAGAAAGCACGGAATGAGTAAATGTTGTCAATTTCGTATTGTTTACCCAGTTTCAAGATGTACGTTTCAGATGCTGTTATGATGCAATGCAACCAACAAGTAAAAATAAAAGAACAACATTTTACCTGTTGGGGTTTGAAGGCGTAAAAGATTTCCATGTGTATCACGATGTATACTTAATTTAATATTATGATCATCACCACGAATTTGTGAAAGCCAACCGCTTATTTCATTATTACGATAATCCAGTCTATGTGATATCATTTGATTAGAAGGATCAGTATGCTTCAACATACAACAAGGGATAAAGTAAGATGCTCAAAAAGAACACGAAGAACATATCCCAATCACACTTGATGGAGAAGCTCTGGAAGAGGTGGAAACTCCCACGTGCCTGAATAGCATCATCGATGAACAGAGAGGATGCGATGCAGACGTAAACAGAAGTACTGGCAAAGAAAGGGCACCATCAACAACAACGTACTGTCGTAGAGGGCAAACCAGCTTCCATCTGAAGAGGAAATTAGGAAGATATACTGAAAGTGGATAGGGAACACATTAGGGAAATTATCAAACTGCATCACGAGGCAAGCTATAACTTGGATTCCTGAAGGGAAATGGCAATGAGGAATGCTGAAGAACACATTGCGTCGAGAATTGGAAGCAGACATGATAAAGATGAATAGAAACTGGAAAGGATTTCCCAGGAAAGAGTTGGATCGAGAATGCTGGTAGAAACCCTATGCTACTGTACGAGGGGTAACAGGCGTAAGGAAGTAATCTTGAGATATAATTGTCTATTACTTCTTGGTTATTTCATTCTACAATTAGACTAAAACATTGCTTCATCTGTGAAAAAGTTTTGTGAATTCACTTATTTGGCCATTATGTAGCTTACCTATATAATGAATTAAAATACTACCCCGAACCTTTTTTTCATTAAAAAAGTAGTATAAATAAGAAAATAGTCTCCGATAATAGTGTTTCACTAGTTATCTTGAAATGAATTAATCAATTCACGGTTATAGAGGCTCAGTAAACGATAAAATCATTACCCTTTATAAATGCTATGAAAATCGAGCTAGGTGAAATTTATACAATCTCGGGATTCTTCATTTTTATGCTATATATTCATTCTTTATATTTCGCTGTTGAAGCATATTGGTTCCACACGCAATGTACTCCTATTTACACGAGATTTTCGTTATTATTTGCGTCTACCTCGTATCTTTATTGCACCAAGAAATGAGATTTCTTTTGAACAAAATGTTTATAGGTTCCATGTATATGACTGATTAGAATGAACTTAGATATCAAATATTTTGAACTAATTTTCTCCATTTTATCTCCAATTTCGTAGGATGAATTACGTGAAACTGGGCGTTTGCATTATTTAGATGAAGGGATATGGTTTCTGGCTTTGGTTAACGATCAACCTCGACGTGAACCAATCAAATTCGCTATCGGTGATGCAGGTAATTATGTCTGATTTGTCTGTAAATGTATATCTTTTTTGAAGTTTGCGATTATTTGAGCTATTTCTCTTTTACTGGGGTGTTCTTTCAATAGTTTTTCTACAATAAATTGCCTAATAATATATGTGTATTTTACTCCATTACTTATCTCTTGTCACTGATTGCCACCAGCTAATCACTTTAGCGCAACTAAGGAGCACTTGCCTGGTGTTTTGCTCTAATTTGGAATTTTTCAGAAATCTAAACATATGTCAAATGGCTATCCGGATGCACTGGTTGCATTCATTTACATGCTGTCATTCAGCTTATTCTGTACTGTAGTTACTACTTTAAATCGATATAAATCTCATTCGTCAAATAACGCAAGTTTCGTATAGATTAGGTGATTTAAAAATACCCAATAATAGGATTTTTCTTTATTTGGGTGCTTTTAATTTGAATCCGAGATGAAGTTATGCAAGACTTGTCTATTGTACAACCTATACTGCTCATTGTTATACACATACAACAGTCTACCAACTACGATTATCTTAAATAATCTGGTCATCACTTGGATAACTAAATCTACCTAATTTTAGCTGATATCCAAAAATGTATTGTGGGATCACCTTACAAACACAACATGAATATATTGTACTCATTGATGAGATCCTGTTCGAACTGTATTCAGCAGTTAAGTTTGTTAAATTAACTACATGGTTTTGCTTTGAATCAGCAATTCATAGATTCCATTTAGAATACAAGTCTCCTTACAAATTCAAATTTTATTCTCTCACGAAGTTAACTATCCTTAGTCAGTCAATCAGCATTCAAAAGACTGAATTCGTCTTATCTAAATGTATCGAATGTCTAACGAAAAATGCTGTGAATATTATTCGCCGTCAATCATCATTAGAAGTTCATCTACAGACAATCAAAATTTATTATCATTATTATGAATCATTTGTATGTGGATAATTAATCTTCATCAAATTAAAACAAGAGAATAATGAAACCATCATTGATGATAAATAAACCAAACGTAAAATATTTGTTAATTAGTGAGATGCGATGTATGTAATTCCAACAGGTTGTTTAATAATTTATCTGAATCATCAAAAATAACAGTTGAATCATCATGATATGAAGTAATAATAATAATAATAATAATAATAATAATAATAATAATAATAATAATAATAATAATAATAATAATAAATAGCGTGTAGATTGATGTACCCGTTCATTTACTAGACGAGGAAAATGTGGGTTAACTTAGTCACCTTTGTTTGTAAGTTGGTACATTATAATGGTTTATCACTGAGTGTATGTGTGAGTGTATGAATGGCAGAAACCGATTTTACTTGTGTGTATTTGTTTGCCTTATCGAATTATTTCATAGAACTAATACTTATTATTCTGAATTTCGTTAGAAAAAACTGCAAGACTAAGCGTATTTAGTAGATGGATTTCTGTATAATTCTTTCTCAACTCGGTGCTTTACTGATTCAATCAGATACCTTGGCTATTCAACTCGTTTCAAATTTTCTTCACTCAGTGAATGTTCCGCTCGTTTATTGTCTAGCTGAAAGATTTACAACTATTTATATTTTCCCTAGCATTCTCTTAGTCCAAGTAAAACGGAATGAAATGACATGCGCATGAGATTGCTTAATAATTCATTTATTAGAAAGCACTTTCACTGTATTGATTTCTTGAACATTCGAAGTCGAAGTACCCGTGATAAATCGATTCACTTTTGTATATGCACCGCCGTATTTGATCCCGTGTAAAGTATGTCGTACCCTTATTCTATAGTTTGTCAACTAAGAAACATAACGTGAATCCATAAATAAATAGTTTAATGTCAAGATGAATCTTGTTTGATTTTTTCTGATTGAAGTTAAGTGACTAGGAAGACTTTGATATCATTTATCAAGTGTTTCCCATCACTTTCAGTTACGATTCAACAATAATTTTACTTGTATGAATTAATACTTCTTCTGTAACCTTCTCCGTTTGTTAGTGAGTTCTCTCTATAATTAAAAATTTGTATAAATGATGAGCATTACTGTGAAGCATTTTGCAAAATAGTGATAAGAATGTCGATATTTTCACATGGTAATTAATTTTTTTTTCTGTTATTTCTTTCTACGTCATCTGACTCGATTTCAGTTAGCAAATATTTCAGCATTAACTTTTACATTATTATCATGACGATAGTCAGCTTAATACTGAAACATTTCTTGACCTAAATTCTGAAATAGTCTTAATCTGACTGTCGCTATCATGCGGTACAAATACCTGCAACGTCAATCGTTACACATGTTTTCATATAATAATGATACCTTTCAAAGTTACTGAAACCACTTACTGTGTGTTCGAAAAATCACTCTTCCACGTGGGATTCTAGCATTTTGTTGATTATATAATATTCCTAGTCATTGTGGCAACAAATATTCTCTTGTCAGCCTAAATAGTTTTCGTGATTCGGATGATGACTTCTTAGAAATCTCATGTGAAAATGAGGTAGTATTCTATTCCCTCTTGATTTGCACTATTTTTTAGGTCAGTTTGTGATGTGAAACGGAAGGTATTCATCTACTTATTACCATCGTTTAATGTAAACAAACAAACATCACTTTGTTTAAGTGAAGTCATAATATCAAGTACAAAGTTTTGGATACACAGTTTTAAAATTTTAAGAAATTCTCTTCTGTTATGAAAGGTTTATTTTGTTAAACGGTTAAGGTTATAAGTTGTTTTCTACTAGTATCTCATATTTCATGTTAATAATACTGTTGTACACATGTAAATGATTATTAACTATTACAATCCATCTGTATATGCATGAAATAATAATATTGTTTTCCTTTCCTACATTCAAAATGATTTCCCTAAGGCGGACTATCACCGTTCATAAACAATTTTGTGTGCACATAAGTGTTATGTAAATATAAAATATCGAGTTGTAAACTGTATACACTGAAAATCAGTGCTATGGTTGTAGGTGGGAGTGGTGATCATGCAGCAGTAGAAGTAATAATGGTGGTAGTAGCTTTTATTATGATTATTCATGCTGTAAACTGACCTTGCAGTCTTACAAAAACTGTTTATGTTTACGTTTTTATTTACTTATTACCAAGTGGATTTATGTGCAAAAACACATTATTATTTGTTCTTTGCTTTTTCTCCAATGTATGGCTATTGTAATTTGTGTGTAAGGAAATTCAATTCGTCCTTTCTTCATTGCTTACTATCTCTGGTTGGTTTCCTTGACGATCCTTTTTTAAAATTTAAAGATCTGATTATTTATCTTAAGTGTTTTCTCTTTTGTTTAAAATCAACATTTTGTCCTCTAAATAAACACCAATATAGATAACGGAAAGAGGAGCTGTAGCACTAGGGATTATGTTAACTGAACATGTATTCATTCAGTATGAATATCAAATCTTACGACGACTCTTGATGTAAGTTTAGGCTAGAAAAGTTACGAGTCTTGCTCATGTAGTCATTGATTGTTTTCCTGCAAGATCCTGTCTACCTATTTGATTAAGCTCCTGTAATATTGAAAGTTACTAGTTGGAAGTTGTGTACGACAATCTAAAATAGATCCCGAATAAACAGGTGTGTTTTATTCTTATCAGATATATGCTTTGTTTTTGTTTTATTTTATTCATATCCCTTCTTAGCTCATTTGACAATCATTATATCCGCTTGTTGACCTCGTATTATGGTGTCTGTTCGAACTATGACAATTTTTATGTTGTTGTATCTATCTATAAATAATATTCTTTAAATTTCCTATGACCTTCTTAAATGTTCTCAAATATTCTTCATTTTTGAATATTCTATGGGGATTTTTAAACCTTAAATGTCTATCTTTCTCCAAGCATCTATCTTCCCTCTGTGTTCCAACGCGTTGGTGATAATTGTTGAAGTATTGTGTTTGTCAGTTAACCAGTCTATCAACTTCGCATTAGATCGCGTTCCTATCAGAAGAACCACAATTGTTTGTAATTAAAAGTAACCATAAGACAAGCGCAAAATACAACATTATTACATTAGTCTCGTTAGTGAATCAGTCGTCAATACCATATTAATACAAATATCTTTGTTGGGTGATTTTCAAAATAAGTTTTGATTAAAGTATAGTTACACCTAGTGTAAATTTATTCACCTAATATCGAAAACACTTTGAAAATAACTTACAAGTTATCTCATTAATACTATATCATCCATCAATCTATTAACTTCATGAATAATAATGTAGATTGCTAATCTAGCCTTTTTTAGAATAACTACCTTGAAATTCTTTTCTATTTTTGATTGTTTTTATTAATAAATACTGGAATCCATTTTCTAATCAACTATCCATTTTAACATTTACCAGCTTAGTTTCGAAACAGCTAGCTATGATTGAAAAATTGCAGTCGTTCTGAAGTGATCCTTTAGAAAGTCACTAGGAACCAAAAAAGTACCATTAAAGCCTTGATGCAACACACAAGCGAACAATACTGTTTTCAATTAGATCTTTATCACACTTCTCATACCTGATAATCTTCTTATTACATTATCTTACTTATATCTTCTCACCCCTTTCATACCTCTCATTTATTAGTTGCATACTTAAGCAGATTGTCCACACACTTCTTATCACTTAATTCCTAATGGTTATTATTTTAGTGTGTTTACTTTTTCTGGTTTTAACGTACTTCCTATGTCGAAATCCTTGTTCATGTTATCATGCTGACGTCTGTTCTCATTTTTACTACTCTACCTGTCACCTTACTACCAATTTGAACTTCTTACCAATTATAATGTCACATCATTCTTTTTAATCGTCATGAATAACTCATAAATTCTATTTATCCGTTTAATAATTGTATATATGCATATAAATATTACTGTATGTTAGAGTAAAGCCTGATGATCTAATTAAGGAAATAGTATTGTTCGCGTGCGTTACTCTAATTTACCCAATCTTGTTGTTTCTGATGCGTGTCTTTCCTGTTGTTATT